CAAATGTGTCACTTTATACTGCTCCAGATTGATTGCATTTTTTGAGCTATCAATATCTTGATACACTCCGGGGTTGCTGATATATTTCCAATGCCCTAAAAACATCACTGAAATTGCTGTGTCCTAAAAAAACATTATTGACCTATTTGAATCAAGCATATTAAATCACCATCAAGCTCTACTAAGACAAGCCTTTACTAACTGTGATGTATAGATATTTAAAGACAATTGCTATCCAGAAAATGTATTAACTGTGGCCAGTTATTGGACAAAGGAATAATTTATGCCAATTGCCAGTTATGCTGACAAACACATAGTTGCATATCCAAGTAAGCTGTGGTATGAAATGAACTGATATGCAATCACAGGTTTATGTAGCCTACATTAGGTCTGACATTAGGTATATCAGATTATGAAACAATTCATAATTTTTGTTGATTAATGATTGATTTAAGAATAGCCATTATTATACTGTTCATTGTAACTGTGGTGTTTTCATTTATATGATGCTCGTTTTGTGTATATGACCTGTGTGGCCTTTGGTTCGCTGGTTTTTGACCTTCTTGACCATGACCTCACTCTTCTGAACGTGCTGGGTCCATTGATTCTTCATTAAGGGCAAAGGACACGCATTGATCCTTTGTCCCCAAGGAAAAGTGGAAATAGGGTGATATCATGCTCGCAATTTAGAAACGCTGATGCTGCTCAATAGCTTAGCACCTCAACATCTGCAAATATCACTGCATAGTAAACGCGAGAACTTTCATCACTAGAGTGAAGCGTAGACTCCCTTGAGTGATGCAGACTTCATCGCTCACATCTGTCTCACTCTTACAGTAATTCTTCTAGATTCCCTCCTCAGCCCAACAACTGTCTCTCTGTCAATATTGTATGTCTGAGAGGTGATTCTGAATCCGATCTGGTTTCGATTTAAGCCCTTCCATTGCAGTACAGCATTTAAATCTTTCTACAACAATTTACTTTTCCCTCTGTATTCATTACATGAACTCAGTATTTAGCATTCAGAAGGAACCTGCAGTTTGCATATAGAGTAATGTGTTAGGGTGAGAAAATATATTGGAGATCTATTTGGAGAATGATAATGAGACAAATGGGTGGACTGCACTGACAGAAGGACAGACAGACAGACAGACAGACAGACAGACAGACAGACAGACAGACATAGATAGATAGATAGATAGATAGATAGATAGATAGATAGATAGATAGATAGATAGATAGATAGATAGATAGATAGATAGATAGATAGATAGATAGATAGATAGATAGATAGATAGATAGATAGATAGATAGATAGATAGATAGATAGATAGATAGATAGATAGATAGATAGATAGATAGTAAAAAAGGGAAAGATCTCCTCTGACCTGACCACACTTTTTCTTTCATTTCAAAGGAGAAGAGTATCACATTAAAGATTTGGCCAGATATTTCATTTGCCATTTTTATTGCATCTATCTCAGATCAATCTGCTCATAGCCCTCCAGGTAAAAGCCATCTGGGTTTGCTACTGGAATAAAAATTGCCTGTTGAAGTACCCCTTGAAATATGTCGTCAATACCACACCTATCCTAACTACATCATGTGAGCCACAAGATGCTTTTTAGAAGCACATTAGTTAGTATGGTTTAGGGCACAAGAAGCTGCTTTGACCTTGTCTAGAGTAAATTGTGCAAGCTAAGCTAAACTGAGGCAGCTCCTCCGAGCAACGGAGACTCCGAGCCAGCACTCATAAGCACAAGGTGAATTTAAATGTGTGTGTGTGAGTGTTTGCCATCTAAAAGACGGAGCCAGGCCTTTCAATCATACATCGCTTAAATGTGCTGACGATGACTCATTGTTTATATAGCAAAAAACAGATGGAGGAGATGGGCGCTAGAAGTGGACCATTAGAAAGAGACCTGTTTACGAAGCACAGTATCGTAAAGCATCTGACACCTCTTCAGATTTTCCATCACTGATTTCTTGCCACTTTTCTCACACTCTTTCAGTGGACCAGAGTAATGAGGGTTAAGAATGAGAGTGGTGCATGGACAGTGTGTATTTTGTGCTACCGTAATCTCTCAAACCACAACTACAAAAGCTCAATTTCAGCCCACTACTGAACTGACAGCAAATAAAAACATTCCCTGCTAATATCTAGTATCAACCTTAGACAGACTTTACACTCTCAGAACAAATGTGCAAACATTTTACCATTGGGGGTACAACAGTTTGTCACTAGGGCAATACCCTCAAAAGGACATTTATTTACCCCATACAGGTTCATAGTAGTACCTCAAAAATACATATTACACTATTCTAAGACAATATGCACCTTTTAGGGGTAGATGAAGTACAATTTTGCCCTTTTAAGGGTACTACCCCAGTGACAAGCAGTAGTAGACCTAATACAATTTTTAAACATTGTTTCTGATAGTGTATGGTGCACACTGTGCACACAAAAAGGCAAGAGCTTTCCCAAAACATCAAACTTTAATCTGATGGGCTGGTTTTACTCAATATCCAGGGTGGGCAGGTTTATATCAGTTTGTCAGGAAATGAGACTTCCAAGGAACTACTTGCTTGATTTGGGATGTTATTGGCATATATAAAAAGATATATAAATAAATAGTTTTGTTTCAGACACTTGCAAGTAACCAAGATATGCCTAAGGACATTTGCACATTATCTTTACACCAGACTACTAAGATCGGAAGCATCCGCACTGAAGGTTGGTATACAGCTGTACTGTTGGTTGTCATATAATCAACAGTCTCTGTTACTCATGTTGCCTCCAATCAGTAACTCTGAAATGGCTAAATGAGGTAACAACTGCAGGGGTGTCCAATCCTGCTATTGTATGACCATCTTCCAGCAGAGTGTGGCTCCAACCCCAATTAAACCATCTGAACCAACTAATCAAGGCCTTCAATATCATTAGAAACCTCCTGGCAGGTGTGTTGGAGCTAAACTTTGCAGGAAAGTGGCAATCCAAGAGCAGGACTGAACACTCCTGTTTTACTGTAGACCATGCAAGAGAATATCAATACTAACGCATTCACAGAATTTTGGGCAACCAACCACCTTTACATTTCTTGGCACTTTTACCTGTTCCTGTCCCTCTCTGAAACCTCTGTATACTCTTTCTCATTTAGGAAGCCTAATCTGAACAACAAATACAGGGTGGAGCTGTCCAACCTGATGAAGCCACCCAAGCAGGAAAAGAGATTGGACATTTGTACACACCAAAAGCAAAATGTTTATTTGGGGAGTGAAGAGGGCATTAGCCTGAGCTGTATCAGCAGAATATATCAACCACTGAGGTGTGTATTTTTGGTGTCTGTCCTTTTCTCTCTATCTATTCCCCCTTCTCCCAATGTCTCTTCCTTGACTGTTTGGATACATCTCCAAATGTACCACAAAGCATAAAGCAGTGAATATCTTGCTTGCTTACATACACATAAATGAGGACTTGGCACATCGCCCAATTTAAAATGGTGCCTGTATCTTCACAGCTGGTTGTTTTTTAGGGGAATCCTACAGATGTAACTGAGATACGCCCTCCCCCACTGCTGCTATACAAATTGGCGGCCCATGGGGAAGCCACAGTGGGTTTAAACCACTCATAAAGGAAAGTGCTTAAAAACAACATTCATTTCACACCAGCAGGGACAATGCAGCCCTGAAGAAGACAAATTGTAATTTCAGACAATAAATTCACAGAGAGTAATTTAGACTAATGTATCCAAAGTGCAAGACCATTTGTCACTAGTCTTTTAGAGAGACTTAATGGAATAGTTCACCCAAAAATGAAATGGAATAGTTCACCCTGTTTTCTCAGTCTCATGTTGATTCAAAACTGAGGGTAAGAATATCCCTTTAAATTTCCCAGAAGAAAGAAAGTCAAACAGGTTGGGAACAGCATGAGGGTGAGTAAATGATAACAGGATTTTCATTTTCAGGTGAACTATCCCTTTAACGATGTACACCTTGTCCAGATTTGTCATGACTTTGGGGAATAGATTGCCACATTGCGATCTACTCAACTTTGTTTCGTTGCTAGCTCTCACTATTCTTATTGCAAGTGTGATAGGCCATTTACAGTTCTACACCCCATTAAAATTTTTAATTTGTTGATGAACAGAATATATCTTGGCATCTGTACAACAGTAAAACTTAAGAAATGTATTAAACAAATAGCTTGTAGGATAAGGGTGTCTAATCCTGCTCTTGTAGGGCCACTGTCCTGTTGAGTTTAGCTCCAACCTGCCCCAACACATTCTCCTAAATGTTTCTAGCAACCCTGAACACCTTGATTAACTGGTTTGGATGTGCTTAATTAGAACTGGACCTAAACACTGCAGGATAATGGCCCTCCAGAACCAGGATTGACCCCTGTTTTAGGATACCTAAGGGTAAAAGAAACGGTTTGACATTGGTAGAACTGATTTACTGGTCATAATGTGAGTCAGACTCTGAGAAGTGAGAGCCTGTGGATGAACATAATTAATTTTACAGCTGAGGGGAAACAGTTCCACAAAAAGCCTTCTAGACGACCCCCTTTCCCAGTGACAGCTGCACTGCATCCCTGCATAAGCCCTTTAGGCTCACTCTGAACCCTATTATATCTCTCTTAGCGGCATTCCTCTTTTCACTAAGTTCCACCTTGCACTTCTGCTCTTCAAGTCGCCCTTTTCTCTTAAAGTCTTCATACCACATATCTCTGTTTTCCACATTCTCCCTTCCCCCTGACTCACATCTTTCTCTCTCATCCAATAAATTAAGTATATTCCACATCTACGTCTTTCACACCCTCTTTTCCCTTATCTTCCACTTTCACCTCATCAACAATTCAGCACACAGGACAGGGTTTGCAAATGCTCCATCGGAGGTAAATTAATTGCACACACATCCTTATCGTTCGTCATTCTGTAGGACTACTTCTTAATTTCCCCTTTTTTCAATCTAATTTCCTTTATCCCACACATTGTTCTCACCTGCAATCCAGTCGTTCCAGCTCAAAGTGGGGGTTGAAGTTGAGCACGATGCGCTGTGAGGATTCGGGTGCGCTGATCACCCACTGGCAGCTCTGATGGGGCGGGTATTCCAGAGGGTATCCTGGAGAAGTGATGTAACCGGCATCGCTGGCATCCAGGTGGCCTCCACATGTCTCAACTAAGACAAATGGGAAAGAGACAAACAGAAAGAAAGTGAGGTGAGGTAGTGTTTCAGATAAGTTAGTTATTAGCCACATATACTTAACGCTTGTTTGGCCAAGCAGAGCGGCGTGAACGCAAGGCAAATTAAATACATAAATCACAAGTGCTACCAAATCCCTCTGTGAGCACTGCATGGCTAAGAGGAATACTTAAGTTGTCAAAACACACAAGAGACAAACACACTGCTATATGACGTTAAACTTAAACATATTTCCTTCATTAATATAAGTTCCTATGCAACTAACTAATGCATGTTGGATGATGTCACCAAGGTCTCTTGGAAACAGGCTACATCACATTATAGAAGTAAAACTGTTCGGGAATGCTGACTTAAAGCTAAAATAATATCTCCCTAATGGTATTGCTGTGCGGATACTGTATACCTACAATAAATAAAGTTTTAATTTGACAATTCATAACATTTACCTTATTCCAATTACCTTATTTTCTGTCAACCTTTCTACACAATGCTAATAGAAGCATTCAAGACATTTATGATGCTCTCTACAAAATATTATAGTCTAGCCAACTCTAAGACAGGAAGTGACATGCAGGGCTCTTCTCTGGAGGTTCAGGGGTCATCCCCAAAGCTGCAATAGGATCCAGCATAACAAAGCCTTCTTCTATCACCCCACCCAATGTCCTTTCCCTGCTCTCTTCACCGAACACTCCTTCCACATGCTAGCGTTCATTCTAACATGCGCAACAGTCCTTTTTTATGCCGCCCTCACACATAGCAGATATCATTCTGGTCATTATTATTCTAAATGGAGCTAAGATTAGGAGACAGAAATACTTTCTGGTCTTTCACCATGACAACCGTGCGGTGAGGGGTTTTTAAGCACATACCAGCCAAAGGACAACTGAGGAAGTAGACAGGTCATTCCTACTAAGCAGCACATTTTCACGTAACCTTCATTGAATATTTGACAATTTGTAAAAATGCAAATCAAATAAATTTGTTTGCTTTTACATCCCAATTATATTCATTTTAAATTAGTTCACACTTTAAGATTGAACTGATGATGCCTTACTTGTCATGTCTCTGTGTGATATTCTCCTCTAAAATTAAAAACTAGGAACATACTAATTAAACATTGTTAGCAATATTCATAGCTATTTGTTAACTAAACTTTTCTTTGAAATATTGTTTAAAATTGGTGATCAATTCATAGGTTATTAATGTGTCTCCTCGTGCACTTCACTTTATATCCTGTTAGTCTTCAGTAAAAACTCTTTAACCTACAAAAGCCAGTTCCTGAATGACATCATCCTCCAGGAAGTGACATCATTATTGTAGAGAATACAGCAGCTTAAAAACATGCCTAAATCATTCCAAATTACAGGAATCAGTTTGATAATATCAACATTTTAAAAACAGATGGTATACACACGCACCGCACGCACTATATATGTATATGTAAGCTGAGCTTGAACTGAGCATATTTTATTTTTCATATAATAGAAGCATATTCATTACAGAGTTAAAAAGGTACTGCATAAAGTGAATGACTAGAGACATCATAAAGACATTGAGAACTTGGTTGCACATGATTATTACCGTCAACCACAAGCCTGAAGATTATATTTTCTGTCTGATAAAAAAACGATATGTACACCTCCACAAAAGGTGAGTGGAACTCACTAACACACTTATGTTTAGAAGGATACATCGCAGCACTCATCGGAAAGGGAAAGTGGGAATAGTGCAGGTTCAGAGAGGAAGAGGGTGGTTTGATTGACAGTTCTGGGTCTGATGTTGGCTTCTGCAAATATAGATAAACACGGCTGTCTAGCAAGCGTTAGGAAAACTCCTCCTTCTCTCTGACTGAACAAACTTCATGACTACATCCTTACCCCACAACTGGTAAAAGCTAGTGCATAACAGAATCTATACCAAATCTATACAGAATCTAGAATTTCTAACATTGCTCGAGTCTCTGATATTAAAGCAACAAAGGAATAGAGATGAAGCCAGAAAGAATCAAAATTCAAATGAGACTCAGTAAAAATTAGACACAAAGAGACTCATAACCCCCAAATGCACAACTCCAGAACCCTCAATATCCACGAATTTTCAGAAAACTTGTGAAATTGCCCTTCAAAAGCGAGCTGCAGGGCATCCTAGAACCACGTTAAAGATCTTCAGCGCTATGCATTGGTGTGGTGGAAAATCTTGAGACAAGGAGTTGACTATCGCCTGAAGCCAAGACTCCCATACGTGCTGATGTGCCAGTCATAAGAGTCTGAATAAAAGCTATAAGGATGGTTGGGGCTTCTTTCAAGTGTTGACATTTCCACTGCTATTATGTCTCTTTAAAAGGTGCACTTAAAAATGAGGTGGCATTTAAGGCAACAACCGAATCCTTCTAACCCTTTCAACTATATCATCTGAAGAGGAAAAGCCAAGCGCACACATAGATACTCATGAAAAAAAATCACAATTGTATACAATTAGACTCTATCTATCTATCTATCTATCTATCTATCTATCTATCTATCTATAGCATACAAAAAATTAAGCTGATTTTGAAAACCATTACAGTAATGGTTGAAATCATTGAAATCAGCAAAGCCAGTTTATAAAAGAAATGTAAAGGAAATGTTAATATGATGATAAATACTTTACCATTTAAATCAAATTATTAGATTAATGAGTATTGGGGGTTTGTTGTTATAGTGATCATGAAAATAATGTCACAATGGGAGAAAAATGGTTCTAACAATAGGCTTCATTTTCTTTTTTCCTTTTTTTTTTTTTATAAAGATAACTTGACAGTTCCCTTCCAGCCCTCCTCCTATGAATTCCTCACCTCATCTCGGTATTATTACCCAATATATTACAGGAACACAAAAGGACAGAAAGATAGCAATCTTTCTAGCATTTTCATTCAGTCTGCATGTATTCTCTGGCTGTGTCTACCGCTCCATTGTGTGTTTTCAGGGAAGAGGGTCTTGAGGATTAATCCATGAGGGGGGATTTTGCGTGCTCTGCACTTTTTTAGACAGATCTGTCCTTTCATGTAGGGAGACAGAAGGGGAGAGGGGCTACAGACAGCCTCGAGAAGAGATTTCAGACCTGTTTTTTTGGAATGAACAAATAATAAAAATAAGGCTTTGTGTCATTTTAAATGGTTTGTTCATCCCAAAATAAAATCCATAAACATGATATGATTTGTACACCATCTTTTTTTGTGAGGAACACACTGAAAAAAAGTCATTAACAGTAAACTGTGACAGGATCCCTGGCTTAGTGAGTCTTTGTAAACATTTCAGACCTGAAGTAACCGATTCATTCAAAAGATCTGACATCTGACTGAATGATTTGTTCATAATGCACATCGCCACTTCTCTCACAAAGTTCAAACTTAATCAATCTCTGAGAGGTGTAGCCATGTCCGATTTGTGAACAAAACCTTCTTTTGAGTCATATCTTTCCAATTAATCCAGTTTACAACACCAGTCTGAATATTTTTCTCACAGATCGGACTGATTCAGTTCTCAGGTTCAATTCACTGACTCGGTGATCCAGTGGCAGTAGTTATGGATCACTAGAGGGAAGGATTAATTGTAAATAATGACTCATTTTCAGTCTGAAAGACCAACATATTTTGAACGACAAAGATTATAATAATTGATCAATTTTTCATTTTTTTAGTCTAACCCTTAAATAAAACGAGGTTCTAGTTGATGCATTTAAAAGACTAAAAGAGTCAAAATGCAGAAAAACCAAAGGACCTAAATGAACAGCTCCCTATATGCCAATCGCTGTGTGTGTGTGTGTGTGTGTGTGTGTGTGTGTGTGTGTGTGTGTGTGTGTGTGTGTGTGTGTGTGTGTGTGTGTGTGTGTGTGTGTGTGTGTGTGTGTGTGTGCCCAGATGTTTTTTTGTTCATCTCTGCTGGTATTAATTTCTATTAATGGAATCATCGCTGTGCTGAGCTGTCACCGCTGCGATAAGTTGCATCCATGTAGAGAGGGCATGATATATCTCCATCTTGCTCTCCCGCTCTTTCTCTCTCCGTTTCTCTCTCCATCCTTCCATTCGCACCTTAATTAAAAAGTGCTGTCACCCGCGGTGAGGAAATCAGCACCGATCCATTCATCCTTACCAAAGCTCTCTCTTTCTCTTGCTCACTCGCACTCTTTCTCGTTCTCTTTTTCACAAGTTTCATTGCTACCAAAAGAGTCCATGCGAATGAAATTTCATTCTATTCTTCACACACAGCTTTCAAACGGCTTCACATGACATGAAATATAACAGACTAAAGTATTATTGGCCTCTTTCATTGTACCTTTATGGTCTAATTTTTTCATATTGTAAAAACATGAGGGTGAGTAAATGATAACAGAATTGTCATTTTTGAGAGAATCCCTTTAAAGAACATTCCCTTTTTCATTTTCATTGCTGAAACTTCCTGACTTCACTTTTTCTATGTTCTTTAGAAGAGCTACAGAACTTTATAAACAGCACTGTAAACCACAAGACCAACAATTAGCCCAGAAATAAATAGTCTAAAATACATCAATATTTAATAAATAATAACATGTAATAAAAGTAATCATAATAAGCAACCAATACAGTTTTTTTAGACCAACTTTAGGCTGTTTCTAAGAAACAAAGAACAACAATTGCTAAATTATCATGGAATTCCAATGATGTGCGGTCACATGTGTATATGCATCAGCTATTTTACAAAGACTCTGAAGGCAGTGCGTCGTCCAATCAGATTGTACAGATTTTATAATACACTCCAGTCACCAATTCCCGGTGCACATCTGATCATGCATCGTGAATTTTACAGTTACTGTTCACCAGAACTTCTGCGGTGTCCTAATTTACAAACATCAATGTGTCACGTTATCTGTCTTCCCTCTTACACCCACAAGCACGCTCCACTAAAAGCTCAAAATGACACTAACTAGGAGGGGCCCTTTCAATTATTTATGCTATATTTTTAATTCCTCCTCAATTCAAGCAATCCAGGGAATACTCAGCACCCACTGCCTCTGCAGGGATTGATCCGGTCGTGGTTTCCTGGCCTCAAATGCAAATTTTTGACCTTCTTTTCCGAGCTGAGACTGCTAGCTTCTGCATAGATTAGTACCTCTTCTATTCATGAACACCAGAAAAATAGGATGAAACGGCATACACAACCACTTTGGGTGTCGCAGATGAAAAGACGACGTGTGTACGTGTGAGTAGATACGTGTGTGCGTCTTTCAGTCTATTTGCAGGAACGCTGGGGAGAACTAAGTGCTTTGTTTGTTCACATGAAGTATTTATATGTGTCTTTTCATCCTTTAATCAGGTGTGTCAAGCTAAACAGTGGACATAAAAAAGCTGTCTTAGAGGTAAAGGAAAGCTGCTAGGGTGAATATCACTATCACTAATGCTAAGAATCGATTTAAATAAACCCTTAATCCTAAACATTTTACTTTGGTTAAAACTGCACTGTTTGCGCTACATACACAGGCGATACCTCAAACTGTGCAACTTGGAGAAGCATGCCATTACTTTTCTAAGACATAAGACTTGGGATGTTTGCCTGGAGTGTGATCAAATTGGCAAAAACATCCCATAGAAGTACCAGAACATCATGACTTGGAGGTTGGCTCTTTTTCTTAAGTAACTACCAAAAATATCCAAGCAAAAACATATAGCAAACACCCTAGCATCATGGCAGCAAGTTATGCATGAAAAAACATCACTCAAAAGAGTAAAAATGCTCTCTCCCACTATCCTCCCTCTAAAAACATCAGCTAAACCCCTAAAACTTGCAATACACTGCAAAATGCATCAATGTAATCCTCCTGAACCTTTTTCTTTTTAAACAGGACTTTTCAAGAAAAGTCTAGGGTAAACATCGGGTAAACTCCCTGGAAGAACTCCTAGTAAAGGTTCCAGATTTGAGGGCAGTGTTTGACAAGTTGTAAATAAGAGGTGTGATTGGGAGGTACAAATGAGAGGCAAGTGAATATAGTGCTTTTGATCATAAAAGAAAACGAGCCATTGCTAAGACACTGTTAACATATGGACTGTCTGATATCATTCTATGTGGGTCAACGTGTCATTTTTTGGCCAGGACAGAAACTGCGAAGGGCCCCTAAAGGCATGGTCCTCAAACAAGAGATTTTGTGTCTTTGTTGTCCATAATTCAGCGTATTGTGTTGAGCTTGTTGCAGTCGGTGCTGCTCTGGGAGGGGGCGTTTCAGATACCGCTGCATGTGTGCAGTTTCAGGCATTAGTCCAAATGGGTTTTTTAACCCCTGACCTTGAAATATTGCCATTGTATGCACAAGATATAAGCTCACAAATCAAAACAGTTTACATGAATTACTCCCCAAATAAATATGAACATAATTATCAAATTGTAATTACAGATTTTTCAAGTGATTGCAGAAAATAAACAATAATGTAAAACGCCATCTCATATTCATCTGCTCTTCACACTAGCTACTGCAAATTATGAGCTCCATTTCTAAAGCGTCAGCCACTTTAAAGTGGTTATTCCTTTGTAGAAATAGCATTTGCAATGCCATAAGCCAGCAGCTTTTGGGTGAAAGTTTGTATTATTAAGAGCAATAATGCAACATTGGTGGAGAGTCCAAGTCAAGCCACAATGTCATCTATATTCTCATATCATCCAAGACTCTATAGGGTTCATTCATCTGCAGCTGCAACTTTCCTTCATTTGAAGACCTTTCACTTATTAAGCTGCTTCATCATTTCTTTAACCTGTTGGCCTAAAACTGCAGGTGTAAATACAGCATATTCTTTGAGATGACTAGGACAGATGACAGTTTAATAGGTCGTTGAACATGGTAGTGCCCACTGCCCACTTACACAAAACATCGTTAAGATGTATATTGTCACAGTAATAAGGTTTTGAGTCAAAAGACCAATTAGCCAACTCAAATGCTTAATTTCTCTTTTAGTAGCAGTTGACGTTAAAATTAAAAATGCATTGTTGACATCTCCCGAGAAAACTTGGACGGCATTGTGTTGTTGCAGACTTATCACTTCTGCTTATTTAACAGCTTCTAATGAACCATTGTTTTGCTATTCCGGGAGAAATGGGCGAAACACATCGTAATGAACAAATGCGCGATAGGCTACATGTTTTGTACATGCGTGCTGCCGTCCGCTCGCGCCTTGACTCTGTTTTCCAGTAAAAGCCTCTATGAAGACCAACGATGACCGTTTCAAAACGTCCTCAACGACTGTTCACTATTCAACGGTGAGGAACCAAGTATACAAAGACCTTTTTAATTAAAAAATTAAAGTAAAAAATCTGCTGATGTTCTTCACGCGCAAACCTAAATAATCTTTTTTTAGGACGGATAAACCATCAACAATAGCTACACTAACAAAACTATATGGCACTGCCTTTCAAAACACTAGCTATATTGTGAAGTAGGCCTACTTCGAATACCGCAAATATCATGGAACATGAAAATCGTAATTAACTTATTCAGTTTCATACAACCGGTATATCTTAGCCTCCTATAGCTACCATATAAAGAAGCGCAAAAACTTACACATAACAGTTGAATACCCAAAATCACTTACACTAAACTCGTAACGCGACGTAGTGATATTTTCTGCCAAGGTTGCAGTGAACATGGCTAGATTTCACTTTGTGATTTCTGCTTTTTCCTGTTAAAAATGTATTTCAATCGTTCTTTATTGCAATATGCTAGACCCATTTGCTAGGCTATATGGTTCTTTATTGAATAGCCTACATTACGGGTATAGAGCTGCATTATGATTTATTTGAGAAACTAAAAAAAGTTATCATGTGACATCCGGCTCTAAAAGCCTTTATTTTAAGTTTTTTAGTCAAACTTTTTATAATTATAAATTAACTAATTACCGCCCAGTTTGGTCTGGAAGTCTAAGTTGTCCAGCTTCCTAAGTCCGTCTCGGTTTCATCTTAATGAATATTGTGGAAAAATAGGTAGGCTAATGTCTCAGCAAAACGTTTATTTTAAGGAATCATTAAACGTGCGAGGGAACGCAGGTCATGGCTCAAATAATCTGTACCATTCATTTTCCCTTTGTTAGATATAAAGCTGTTCTTTTTCTTCACTAAATAAAACCAGAAGCACTCCTTTCCTCGGCATGGTTTGCCCGGACAGCAGACGTTCGCTTCGCCAGGAGAGAAATCTGTTTGCCATTTGCGGATAGCCTCACTGGATGGGAATTTAGACACACAGATACCGTTATGAAAGTTAAAGAAAAAAGAAAAAGACAAACTTACTTTCTTTTGCGCTGACTTTCAGAACGAAGCAAAAGATAAATGCAATCCCTTGGTGAGATATCCAGAAATCCATCTTTCCAAAAATGTGCTGCCTTGAAGAAGTGACCTGTGTTCAACTAGTGATCTTCTTCAAGGAACAAATGTCTATAATTCAGACTAAGAAAAGAAAACAAAATAAGCCGTTTTGTCTTTATAATGCTCAGAATGTCCTTTTCAGAGGCAGTTCTGTTGAGCCCATTGCGCACAGCAAATGCAAACTGTGCATGACATGATCTATGTCATGTATTGATAAAAAGTCATGCCTTGTCATAAAACAGCCTGTTTTAAAATAAATCAGAGGTCTTCAGCTGTATTCCGTTATAAAGCAGTCGCGGATTTGCGTGCGTTATTGCGCTCCATTGCCTTATTGGTCTCCGATGGGTTGATAGAGGTTTCCGCAGGGATTTGTCCCTTAATCGTCTGCTTAAAACACGCTGCCCTCCGGACACAGCTTGAGTGTTCTGATATCTTCTTGCTCTCGTAAGTCATTCGATCACACTCAGGAGGCACCAAGTTTTGTCCAAACTGGCAGACTGGAGAGGGATTGGTGTTGCGCAGAAGCGTGTTGAAGCGCACTGGTGTGCTCGCGCAGAGCTGTGGCAGTAGCGCGTGTGGATGTATGTGCTCGAGAGCGCGAGTGAGTGAGTCAGTATGTGTGTAATAGCATTTCTGAGCGGCGCAGCTATCGCATTACACTGAGCTTTCTTGGCCCGCCTCCCCTCTGTCACTGATTAGAGAACATCTCTCTCTCTCTCTCTCTCTCTCTCTCTCTCTCTCTCTCTCTCTCTCTCTCTCTCTCTCTCTCTCTCTCTCTCTCTCTCTCTCTCTCTCTCTCTCTCTCTCTCTCTCTCTCTCTCTCTCTCTCTCTCTCTCTCTCTCTCTCTCTCTCTCTCTCTCTCTCTCTAAAAGTTAGGTTCATTTCAGCGAATCAGTTCGTTTCAATGAACGGATCCATAGAATTGGTCATTGTACAAGTAGTTACCACAGGTCCCGCGCGCCATTTTACGCGTGACCAATTATTATTATTAGCATAGTAGCTAAATAAATACAGAAGGTTCCAGTGATTCAATTTTTTATTTATTTTTTATTTTTTTATATTCGTTTTTGAATTATGGTAACGCTTTAGATTACAGCCTGGAAAGTACTGCGTAATTAAAGCGATTTTACAGCGTAACCTTCGGTAATTATAGTGTACCTATAACGTACTTACAATATAAGTATAAGAGAACAATATTTTAAGTTTGGGGAATAAAGGGGTAACAACCAGGAGAATTTATTTTAATTATTTATACTGTAAGTATTATAGAACTAAGGGGAACTTATTCTACTATTATGATACAACAATCTTACATTTGGGAGCAATTTAGCAAGAACATACACTGCGTACCTTTTTGAAATAATGGTGAACCAGTACATACTGTATGGGCTTTTAAAAAATCACAGGGTACATATCTATGCATTTATAAAGTAATCTTTTTAACAAAAGTGCACTGAAAACAAAAACTATTGCAACTTTTGCTTAAATATTGGGGAAATATACTCTTGTTTCATGTAGTGGTGCTTGTTACCCTCTTGTTCCATGTAGTTACAGGGTAAGTGTGACATTGCGGGCTGTAAATTAAAGTGGTTCTTGTTACCCTCTTGTGCATGTAGTTACAGGGTAAGTACAATAAAAATGCATACACACAATCTTATATCACTGACTCGGAAACCTTTATTTATTATACAAGCACCCCTTACCCTGTAACCACATAAAACCAGATATATTTCCCATATTTAAAAAAAATTGCAATAGTCTTAGCTTTTCTTGCCTTGAAACATGTTAGCCCAAACATAAACATCTGCACTATCAAAAAAAAAAAAAAAAATAGATATGCATAGATATGTATATAATTTTTAAAAAGCCTATACAGTATGTATTGGTACACAATTGTTACAAAAAGGTACGCAGTGTATGTTCTTGCTAAATTGCTCCCAAATGTAAGATTGTTGTATAATAGTAGAATTAGCACCCCTTAGTTCTATAATACTTACAGTGTAAATATTTTTTTAATTCTCCTGGTTGTTACCCCTTTATTCCCCAAACTTTACATATTGTTCCCTTATACTTACATGTAAGTACTTTATAGGGACACTATAATTACAGAAAGTTACACTGTAAATTCCTCTTAATTACACACTTTCCGGGCTGTAATCTAAATCATTACCTGAATGATCTCTCTTTAATCTTGTTCGGCATTATGGAGCGCTGCTCAGATCGAGGCAGCAGTGCATGAACATTTCTAACCAGCATGAACATTTCTAACCAGCATGCACTGCTTCATGCACTGCATGCTGGTTAGAAATGTTGTCTGACTTGAGACAGCGCAGAGAGCAGACGGCTGACTCAGCCATCGCAGTTTCTCCAGAGTTCTGATAATAACACAGCTGTTCCCTGATTGGACGGATTCACCGCATGACAACTATCACTTGTGTTTCGTGTTTATTCTGCACCTTCAGTTCCTCTAATGCTCACAAATCCGTCTTTTTATAACAGTAAAAGCTATTTTCATGTAGTCACAATGTTATATTCATCAAAATAAAACTGATTAAAACCATAGACCCCACTTATGGTATTTAAATAATATAGGCTTATGTTGAACTTTATTCTAAAATAATGTATTCGCTGTATTAAGCAGTACATAAAGTATTGAATGAAAATGTCTCTGAAACATCTGTTAAACACCTGTTCTCTTGAGTTCTGAGTGCTGAGAGTCGGATTCATTTGAACAATTCGGTTCATTTCAATGAACGAGTCCATAGAAACGGCCGTCGCTCAAAGTTACCACAGAGGTCGAAGCGTGAAATTTTACATGTATTAATATTTCTATTATTATTGTTGTAACTAAATAAATGTGAATGATTCAAGCGATTTATTAAAATATTTGTTGATCTTTTAGTGAATCATCCTTCTTTCTCTCGCGTAAGCACTGATAGCCTACTCGGATTCATTTGAGCGAATCGCTTAATTTCAATGAATTCTTTAAAAAATCATTTGTTTATTTATTTTATTTTATTTTTTGGTTGGGCACAAAACTGGTGCATTTTTGCCTACATGTTTTTATTTGAAATGAAATCCTATTTTTATCACTACTTCGAATACAAGTACAAGTAGGCTACTGTAAAGTATAAAGCACAACAGTACATTATTCAGTTTATTGTCTTTACAAACATATTTGCTGAATGCAGCAATTTAACAATGAGAAGTATTACATAGCCTTGTGATAACTTTTTATCAGTTTTTGAACACAATTTGAAGACAAATTGTTAATGTTCTCTCTAAGAGTCATGTGACGTACAGATACTTAACTGTTTCAAAAGCAATGATTCATTTGTGAATCAGACATCAGCACTCTCTCTCTCTCTCCCCCCCTCTCGCTCTCTCATACACACACACTTGTGTACCTCATCAGTTTCCAGTAACTCAGACGCACACTCGCACACTCACACAAAGCTACAGTGCATGTTATTTTTGGATTTTGACTGGCCTTCCTCTCTAGCAATACACAGCCTGAAATGCAATTAACTTTCGAGATATCATATGACATGATGAAACTATGATAAATGGTACAAATTCAAGTTCACCTTTCTAGGAAGGTGACATGCACGCGACACAAATGCAAAGTTCACAATCTTGCCCATGCACGTGCATAGTAATGGTCATCGTGATATGAGACAATGTGGGCAATGGACAATTAGGCTACATGAGGCAATGTGTGGCAATGTTTATTTCATGTTCTGCCATTGCCCAGAAGTCATTGCCTGATTTGACCTGCAGGGGGACAGACCTGACCACACGGGTCGTCAAGGGCAGAGCAGGAGCAAAGCCAGATCTGTCGACCTTCACAGCAGTTGGACTAGATTAATGTCTAGTGCATAGCCATTCCTTCCTGATGAACTAACATTTCACGGTTTCTTATTTCAAAAAATCTCATCCTTTTAGACTGTTAAAGGATACATTGAGGATTTCATTTTTCTTATACCTCACTCATGCACAATGCTCATGTTCAGAAGAGAATAGTACTCTTATTATTTGTGCAGTATGCAGTCAAACCAAAAATTATTCAGACACCAGATATCATTTTTGATTTTTTTTACTAGTGGGTGCAGGACACTATATAGTTCATTCATGTAAGTGAGGTGAGCAAAATAAAGTAAACTGTGACATATTATACCCAAAAATACAAGTAAAATGTATACAAATTTGGGACCAAAAATGATTTAGACACTTTGACCTGACCATGTGTTTTTTCCTTTAATTGCTACTGCGACCTTTTTACACCACAGACTGAACAAAATTAAGCATTGCTTGGTAATTGGTTGACCGTAAATTGGTATTACACTCTAAAAAATGCTGGGTTGTTTCAACCCAAATTTGGGTCAAATAGGGACAAACTCAAATGTTGGGTTAAAAATGTAATTAAAAAATGTACAGTTGAAAGTGAAAGTTGAAGTTGGGTTAAAATTTTAAATTACATTTTTAACCCAACATTTGGGTTTGTCCATATTTGACCCAAATTTGGGTTAAAACAACCCAGCATTGTTTGGAGTGTATCAACTGAGTGATTTGATAACTATGAGTTCTTGACATATTGTATTACCATTTTCTAAACTATAGCGAATAAACTGTGATAATGTGAGAAATGTTGATGGTGTCTGAATAAATTTTGTTTTGACTGTATATACAGCATGCAAATTTTGTGTTGCATAAAATACTTAAATCACCATTTGTCCAAAACACAACAGAACATAATTCCTAGAATCCAATGTGCTCAACATTCCCTTTCCGATTGAACCAAAAGTTATAACTCCCCAATATCTCTTTTTTCACTCATAGTTGAGACAAAAGTTTAAGACTTATACATGCAAGACTATTTAATTTCCAAAATGATAACTAAATGCCACTCACATTAAATCTTAGCATAAAATCTTAAACTTGCCGTAAATCATAGAATAATTTACTGTTTAACTTTTTATGTAAAAATGTATACAGTGAAGTATAATGTTCCATACTTTAAAGCCTCAACATGAATGTTTTTTTGTTGTTGTGCCAAACACACAATTTAAGGATTAAAGGTGTGTTTCTCAGTCCGTTGGCACAGACTAAATGACAAACGTGAGCTAAGGCCGAAATGTCATATGTTTCTGGACCGGCGGCCACAGAACACAACCCACCCCACCCAAACCAAGCTCTACAATCAAGCTCTAACTACAGACAGAGGTTTTATAATGACACAGCAGAGCTATGCCATGCCGAAAATACTTCACTGAGAACTGCTTTTGGGGAGGCATTCACACCAGGAATTTACAGTAGTCAAGTGGAAGGACAGATTTTCATGCAACACAGCAGAGTGTTTAACATTCAGCTTTAGTACTTCAATGGGCCGATTTATTGGACTAATTTTACATAGTTTTATGCATGTATGCAACTTTAAGTTAACTTTAAGCAGACAAGGTTGGAGTGCTTTTCATGCCACAATCTAAAAATCTAAATAATAATAATAATAAAAAAAAATTCCAATAATAATTTCAGATATTCTGGCCACATATGATGAAGAGCCAATCACAACAGATTCCATTTATATGCAAATCCTAAAGATATATTAGCAACAACAACAAACACAA